GGATGGGGTAGACACAGATCCTTCATCCCTGAAAGGTTTGATTATGTTCAAAGCGGGTAAGAGAGCTCAGCAGGGGGTATCTGTGCACAGGTTGAAGAGTAAGAGCAAAGGCAGGAATGGCAGGGCCTGGTGAGCTTGAGAGGCTGGTTTTCCTGCTTGAGGAACAGAGAGCACAAAGACGTGTGCAGGGCTGGCAGGGAGGCCAGTGCTAAGACTGATGGCCCTCCGTGGCCGGGCCGCAGATGGGGGTGCGTGGGAGGCAATGGGGGTCCATTGAATGCTGCTGCCCCCGCTCAAAGATGGCTACCCCCATCGCTGGCGCTGTGCAGGAGGAGGCTGACTCCCTACCAGGGCCACACAGGGCCTTCCTGACAGGCCCACACCTGGTACACAGCCCCTTTGTCAGAACATTTCAGCTCTGGCCAAAGCCAAAAAACAGCCGTGTGTTACCCTTCTAGATCCCTGAGATGTTCCCCGTGAGTGGCGGGGGTGTGGGGGGAATGGGGAGAGTTTCTTCCTGGTACTGTCGGCCTGGCCTCACTCAGGTGTGGAGTTACTCCTGGTCATGCTGGTTTCGTCACCGGCCCTCGGGCCCCCTTCCCCGTGCGGTGCAGGCGCCACCTCCCCACCAACTCTTTTCCCAATCTCTGACCCCTGCAAAGCTCACCTCGCAGGGAACAGGACTCTGCACATTCCCTTGGCAACCAGCTGGCTGGGACAAAGTCCAGGCCGCTGCAGCTGGATGACCAGCGATTTCCTCTCCAGGAATGGCTGGCCTGTGGTAGGCCCCTAACGCAAGGGATTGGGGCCCAGGTGAGAGGACCTGAGGGCAGGGGTAGGGCCCAGTACTTGCTTTGGGCTAGCAGCAGTGCCTCTGGACTTGGGGGCTTGTTTGAAACAGAGAAGGTTGATGAGGGCAATAAACAGATCAAAGAACCACCTTCGGAGGAGGGCAGAACTGGGTCGTAGAGGACGTCCGCAGTAGGCATCAAAGCCTTACTCATGCTAGATAACCCTGCCTGGAATGTGTCCGCCAGGGAATTCAGGGCTGGTGACCGGGATAAAAGGCTCCACAGCGATCTGAACACACAGCAGACACGTCCCGCACCAAGGAAGGGTGTGCTCACTCCTGTTCTGTTCACGGTTCCAGGGGAAGTCCCAGCCCTCCACTGCATCCCCACAAGTGCGGTCCCCAGCCTGTGCCCCAAGGTGGCTTCCTTCATTGCCGCTGTCACCATCAGGGCCTGTTCTCACTGCTTTCTGCTGTCCCACAGACTTGAATTTCCTGACAGCAGGAACTGTGGCCTCTTCCCTGTGGACTCACAATGCAGCTGTGCCCGGCTGGGGAAGGCGTTTAATAAATGGGGCATGGCACCTGCCTTGCCTAGACTGGGAACAAAGAGCTTGGAAGGCATGGGGAGTGAAGGTCAAAACCCCACCGGAAGCAGATATGTAATGATTAGGGCTCAGGGAGGGCAAAGGAGCTTGGGAGGCAGCCGTGAACTTGAAGGACAGTTTTGGCTTCTTGAGGGTTCAGGGCCATGGGGCACAGGTTGGAGACAGCAGGGTCCCTAGAGAGTACAAAGAGGTCTCCACCTCCCCAGGGCAGGGTGTGGTCGTGTCAAAGTCCGGGTCTGTGGGCCTCAGCTGTCTTCAGGCATCTCCTTCTGTGGGTTCCTGGAAGGCCCCTGCCTCCCGCCTTCCGGACCTGACGGGGGCCTGTGAAGGGTGTGATGGGGCTCATAAACTGTCTTCGGTCCAGTCCAGAAAGGCTAGAGGGTCACGTGCAGGCTTCTTAGGAGCGCCAAGGGGGAATTAGGCCGGGACATGCATTGTGCCGGTCCCCGCACCCAGTGCGCTCGGTGCGCTCGGTGTGCTCGTTACTTGATACATTCAATTTGGGGGCAAACCATATGGAGAGTGAGGCAGAAATAGGAATGTGTCTTTGGGGCTATGAAGGAAATGACAAGGGAACAGCTGCTTTTCCAAGGAGCTTATTCGGCGAAGGCCGGAATGAGCTGGAGGCCGCGGTGTGGCCCTGTTGCCCCCTGGTGGTCAGCGGGGGACACAGCCCTCGGATGCGCACTCGTGTCTCCCAGGAAACCTCTTCTGCAGCCGAGAAGCCTGAGACCTCCTAAATGGGCCGCATGGCTTGGACTGCCCCTCCTCAGGCAGTCAGTCCCCTCCTCAGCCAGCTGGTCCCCACACTGGCCCTCAGGAAAACTGAGGACCAGCACAGATTTGTTTCCAAGAGGTGGAAACTCCTTCTGAAATGTCTGTTCACTCTCTGATGACTTACGGGTGTGAGTCATTTCCATAGAAAAGGGACAGATGCAGGCATACGTCAGTGGCTAGGAACGAGGGACACCCGTGTTTATGAAGAGATGAGTAGACGTGCATGCAGAATCGTCACACCAGCCCTAGCAGAAGAGTTTTGTTGTTGTCGTTGCTTATTTTACAGATAAGGGAGACCAAGGCTCAGTAAGGTAAAGTTGACGTGCTCAAGATGACACAGAAAGTTCCCGAATGGAAGCATTGTCCTGTGCCCTAGATGCCACAAGGCCTTAGAGACATGGCATGTGTCGAGCAGTCACCGGGGGTGTGGACTGGAGACAGGCTCTTCTCTGCCCTCAGGAAAGGGTGAGGGGGGCAGGAGAACTCCCTTGCCTTTGCCCCCTTCCCACCCAGACTTCTGTGTTGATGCCTGGGTGGAAGCGGCACAGTACTGGCTCCCAGGGCAGATTGGACCAGCCTCAACCCTGTCCCAGGGGCTGTCAATCCATGGGCCGGTGAGAGGCTTGGCAGGGGAAAGCCATGCCCAGCAGAAAGGGCTATCTGTAGTCCAGTCAACTCCTCTTGGGGCGGTGGGAGTGTGCCCTATGGAGAAAAGATGCCACACATGACAAAGAAGTGAGGCAGAGGGCAGCCACATTTCACAGAAGCAGTACCGGGGCAGAGAACGGTCTGCTCCTCAATGCCAGGCCATGAGATGGTCTAACACATTGCTGGAGCTGGATGTGATATCTGAACATCCCGTGCTCATTTAAGCCTGTTTCTGTAATGCAATCTCTCTCCTTGTACTTGTTTTACAGATGAGAAAACGGAGGCACAGAGAGATTGTGTGACTTGCCCAAGGTCACACAGCTGGTGAATGGTGAACTGGGGTTTGTGTCGTGGCAGGTGGGTGACTATGTCACAAGGGTGTGTGGGGAGCTCCTGTCTGTCCTATGTGCTTGAGGCTAATGCAAGAAGCATGAAGGGCGTAGAGAGCAGTAAATATTGAGGGAATCTAAAGAAATGCAATGCTACTTGCAAAAATAGTAAAAAAAGAATCAGTATAATTTCTAAAAATAGCTAATGCAAAATTTCTAGCCCCACTGTTCTCCCAGACATCATCACCTCCTCATCAAGAGATGGAGACTAGTTCTTTTATGCTCCAAACTTAGTAGGACTTCATGTGACTCTTGATGAATAGAGCATGGAAAAAGTGATGCAGCTTGACTTCTGAGGCTAGGTCATCAAAGGCAATACAGCTTGTTCCTGGTTCTCTCTTAGGAGACTTGCCCTTGGGAACCCGGCCGCCATATTGTAGGGAAGCCCAGGTCACATTGAGAGCACACACTTAGATGTGACCCGGGCTTCCCTACCTCCCCAAATGATATTTCGGCTTTCTGCCAGCAGCACCAACTATCAAATATGTGAGTGAGCGAGCCTCACTTCTGCCAGGCATCACTTCTGGGAGAGCAGTGAGGCTAGAAATATCACATTAGCTATTTTTGAAAATTATACTGATTTTTTTTTCTTTACTATTTTTTCAAGTGACATTGCATTTCTTTGGGTTCCCTCAATATTTACTGCTCTCTACACCGTTCATGCTTCTTGCACCTTGGACCTTTTAGCTGGGAGATGACCTTGCTTCCACATGAAGTAAAGCCCTTGGAATTTTCTTTAGTGTCTATTGGTGGCAAAGTCTCTTTTATTTATTTATTTATTCATTGAGACAATGTCCACTCCACCCAGGCCGGAGTGCGGTGGCACCATCTCAGCTCACTGCAACCTCCGCCTCCCAGGTTCAAGTGATTCTTCTGCCTCAGCCTCCTAAGTAGCTGGGATTACAGGTGCCCACCACCATGCCCAGCTAATTTTTTTAGTAGAGACGGGGTTTCACCATGTTGGCCAGGCTGGTCTTGAACTCCTGTCCTCAGGTGATCCACCTGCCTTGGCCTCCCAAAGTGCTGGTATTATAGTCGTGAGCTACCACACAGCGCTGAAAATATTTTGCCTGGTGTAAAATTCCAGGTTGACAGTTAACTTTTCTCTCAACAAAATGGACATGCCATTCCTGTCCTTTCGAATCATCACTGAGGAGACCTGACCACCAGTCTATCTCTGGCTGTCTTTGTGACCTCTTTGTCTTTGGTGTTCTGCAGTTCACTGTAACATGTTTAGGTGACTTCCGTTTTATACTGCTTGCTCAGGACATGTTTGGATTTCTTAAACTTGAATTGGTGAGTTGGGGAACTCCCTCTTCCCAGGCTCTCATTCTTGTCTCTTCCCCGGCATTGTCCTCACAGGGCTTATACTTTTGAAAATAAACACCAGGAGATGTGTTCAGGCAAATCCTGCTTTCTTCTGCCCTGTGACCCTCCCTCTCCAGCCAAGGGGATACCCAGAATGACTACCTGGAACTGGGAAAGAAAAATTATCTGGGGATGAAATACACATGGTGCCTCAAGAAGTCCTCCTGCCCTGTGGGGTCTGTGTGGAGGCTCCAGGGCTGGCGCTTCTCTTGAGGGCCCCAAAGGGCCACCATGCCCATCTCTTCCTCATTGGCCTCAGTGAGGTCACACTGTGAGCTTGAGAATTGGATGAGGCATTCTCCGCCCCTAGGGCCAGCTGTCACTACCAGCACAGCCCCAGGCAGGATCCACAGCTAATGGCAACGGGGGTGGGAAGGGCTGAGCTGAAGTTTAGAGCCGGGACAAAGCCAACAGGAATCCTTTCCTTTGTCAAGTTTATTTTATTAAAATATACAGGACTGAATATTAGTGGATGCTGAGAACAGGAACCACCCTCCCAGGCCATGGCCAAGGGAGACGCTTCTGCCATGCAGACATGCGGCTGGTCTGTGTCCCAGTGTGGGAAGCTCCTCCTTGTTGGGCCGTGCAGCCAGTGGTGGTGACACTCTCCTAAGGCTTTGGCCCTAGAAGCTGGGAGGGCTGGGCAAGGGGTGAGGGGAAGGAGGAGATCCCTGAGCCAGGGAAAGCTGATGCCCTCCTGGAGGCAGAGGCTCCCAGTGGGCCTGGAGCCCGGCGTCAGTGCAGCTCCATGGGGGAGGCCAGGCTGTGCGTGAATGCCGAGGGGCTCCCACAGCCTCCACCATACCACCTTTCCTCTGAGGGTCTGCTCACTCTGGGGCTAGCCTCCTGGGGCACCTGGGGCCAGGCCTGAGTGGAGCTGGGATGGCTGCCGATGGAATGTATTATGTGGGAATGTTCCTGGAGGGGCTGTGCCGCCTGGGACCAGGTTCCTTCTCCTTGAGGCCCCAGCAGGAGGGAGCAGGAGGGCTCCTGCTGATCCCCCGGCTGCAGGCTCCTCAGCCCTTACCATTGGCTCCAGCTTTGGGCTGGCATCTTCTGTCCCCAGATGGAGGGGACAGCCAAGCAGAGTCCCGAAACTTTGTGCTTTTGAATGTTGGTCGGCCAGGCTGGGCTAGGGCTGGGCTTTGGGGCCCCAGTGCTCTCAGGCACAGGGCAGACCCCCCAGGCATCCTCCCCAGGGTCACTGTATTGAGGCTACTGGGCCCAAGCCTCAGCCAGCAGGAAAGCCTGACTCTGAGAAGCAGTGTGCTTGGCTCCCACCGGGGCTTTGCCTGAGCTGTTAAGGGTGCTTGTGCTTTTTGTGCAAGGCTGGGGCAAGCCTGGGCAGAGGGACGGTGGCACTGCTTCAGGAGTGGGGCTCAGCCAAGCCACTGGGCCATGGGAGGGGTGCTGCAGGAAGAGGAGGGAGGTGCCCCTTTCCAGGCCCCTCTGAGCTCTGCCCTGGGCTCCCTGGCAGCCAGTCCCTGAACCACGTGCCTCCTCCCGGGACCTAAGAGGACGTTGGAGGGAAGTTTGTGCTGGCGAGTGTGTACAGCCCCACCCACCACATTCCCACTGAACCAGGACTGGGGCAAGGAGAGGTTCATCCCACCCTGTGGAGCGGGCCGAGTGCCCTCAGATTCTCCACTAAGACCCAATCCCCAAGCTTCAAACCCCTGCCTTCCTGCAACGGAGAGAGAATGGGGCCCAATGGCCCCTCACCACCCAAGCTTGCCCCAGAGTGGGTAGCCTGCCCCCAAGAAAGCATTTCCAGAAAGCCGCAGGCTTGGCCTCCATTACCCCCGTCTCTCCTGCCCCTCAGCCGGCCCCTCCAGGGTCCTGAGGTGAGGGGCTTTCTAGAAGCGTACGTTGTGGGCAGGGAGTGGCTGTGGGGAGGAGGCTGGGGGGCCCGGAGCTGGCAAGAAAGCAGAGTGGAGAATGGGGCGAGATGGGCTCACACTGGAGATGGGGCTCTCCCCTGCAGGGGTGCTTGAGTCCCTTCCTGGTGACATCCAGCGGCTGGTGACCTGCAGACCTGCTCTGTCAGCCACTAACCAAGAGACAGTCTTGGCTCGCTGGTCTCGGAAGGACTCGGACTCCAGGAAGGGCTCCAGACTTAGACCCTCCCTGACCTCCGTCCCCCTCTGCCAGCCCAGATGAATGGCTCTGTGTGTGTGTGTGTGTGTGTGTGTGTGTGTGTGTGTGTGTGTAGTAATCTGTTCACTTTTTGCAAATCTATTTTTTAAAAGTTTCTCAGAGGCTGCTCCTGGCAGGACGGAGGTTTCTTGGGGCTGGAGGTGGCCATGACCATGCACCCATCCTGACATGTCCTAGATGACATTCTCAAACAGCTGCATGGAGCTCATGATGTTCTCATCCTGTGTGGAGAGAGGAAGGGAGGCCAGTCAGGTGCTGGGTGGGCTCCAAATACCACCCTGCTGAGCAGATTCCTGCCAGGGACTGAGTCTGGCAACTTGTCTGTCTGTCCGTCTGTCTCTCTGTCTGTCTCACTGAGAGGAGGGGAGCAGGGGGCAGGGAGGTGAAGTAGCTGGTCCCCAGCTGGTGAGGCACAATTTGTCTTCAGTGCCACGCCTGACTGCAAGCCCATCTGGTACAAGCCGATGAAGGGACCCCGGCTGGCCCCAATGGAGGCAGGGGCTAACCAGACCTGCTTTGGGAATGGGGCAGGGGAGGTGCTGGAGGCCCAGTGCCTCGCCCCCAAGATGCTCTCTGGAGGGGCCAGCAGCAACAGTGTGGAGGCTCCGGTGCCTCCCTTCAGTGATTCTCTCCCTCTGGCTGGCCCCATGTCTACCCCTGAATTGAGGCGCTCTCCAGGGTGGGGCTGAGGAAGGGTGTGGGGGTGTGGGGGGATGCTGTGGGCTGCAGGGGTGCGTGAGGAGGATGCACTCAGACAAAAGGGGGAGTGGAGCTTGGGGCTGCCCAGGAGGTGGTGAGGGGCCAAGGACAGCTGTCATGTCTTGGGCTGGCAGGGGCGGGACTGGGATGGGGGAAGGGGTGGACAGTGCCAACCACCCACCTCTGCACAGAGCTGCAGAGAACTGTGGCCCAGCCTCCTGTGCCACCTACCTTCTGACAGGTCTCCAGGAATTCTTCAATGGTCACCACCCCGTCCTTGTTCCGGTCCATTTTCTGCAAGCCAAACCATGCCCAAGGTGAGTCTGTGCCCAACAGAGATAGCCCTGCCCCTGACCTGAGGATGCAGCAGTCACGGGTAGGTGGTGGGCTCCCTCCACCCCAACTTGTCCCCTCTGCCTACTCTGTCCCTACTCTGGATCCAGGCCACATAACGCACCCTCCATAGTTACCTTCCACCCCACTGCTGAGGCTCCAAGCATCTCCCCACTGCCCCCCAGGCCACTTCCATGAGCCTACCTGGACTTGGGTTTCCCAGAATTTGTCCCCATGTTCATCTGACCCCTCACCTCCCTGACAGGCAGCCAGGGCAGACGGAGCAACAGAGTCACAGGATGGCCTATGTCTAGTGGCCCCAGCAAGTGGGAGGCAAAGCCTGCAGTCTCTGCAGCCCCCATGCATACAGGTGAAGGCCCCAACCCACTCCTGTCCCAGAGTGGCTCCCTGGAGGAGCCACACAGCTCTCAGGAGGCACAGAGCTCCAGCCCGGGATCAGCTGCCTTGGGATCCCCAGCCCTGGCCCCCAGATGAGGTCCATAGGGCAGAGCGGTGGTTCCCTTCTCAGGGGTTTTGACAACCAGCCAGATTGGATGCGCAAGTTTAACCTCTTTGTGGGCAGTGGGGGTGCTCGGAGCGGCAAGCCACTTTCCAAGGTTGTCCCAAGGGTAAGAGCTGCTTCCTCTGCCGGGCTCCTCTCCCTGGGCAGGGGCTGGTGCTTGCTCACCTGGAAGAACCTCTCCACATGCTCTGCTGGCGCATCCTCCCGCAGAATGGGGTAGGTGTGTCGGCCCATCATGTCATAGATGGACTTCATGATGGCCAGCATCTCCTGGAGGGGGAGGCTAGTGTGAGCCTGCTGCAAGGCTGGGGTGGCTCCGAGGGCCCAAAGGGCAGCATCCAAGGGTGCAGGGCACCTCCAGGGCAGTGACGAGTGAGTACAAGGGGCTGGACGAGCTGGGGAGAGGAGCCTTCCAGGAAACCCAGCACGAGCTTCTGACTCTAGGGGAAGCTCATCTCCCAGAAGAGTGGGGGATGGATTGTCATGTGCATATCTCCAAAAGGTGACACCGCAGCAGAAAAAGTGCTTGAACCAAACAAAACCTGTCTGAGGGATCTCATGGGGGGGCTCCCGTCTCCACCCCTACCTTAAGGGACTAAACTGCCCCCTTCACTTGGTGGGGGCCAAGGCCAGGACCTCTGGCTTCTCCACTTGAGTCTCCCTCAGGCCTTCTGGGTAAGACAGGATGACAGAGAACACTTGCTGAGCTGGAATGAGCTGTGCAGTGCAGGGCACCAGCCCACACTCCACACCTGGGTGTCCAGGGCCTAGAGCCCGGGAAAGGAGGACAGCCACTGGCTGCTGTCCCCAGGGCCAGTCTCTGGATGGAGAGGGGGAGAAGACAGGTGGGCAGCAGGAATGGGGAGAAAGAGCGGCGGGGGGTGGAACAACAGGAGGGGAGGAGGGGACAGCCCCGCCCCCAGCCCCCCACTACCTCTTTGGTGATGTAGCCATCCTTGTTAATGTCGTAGAGATTAAAGGCCCACTTGAGCTTCTCGTGGACTGTGCCCCGAAGCAGGATGGAGAGGCCAACCACAAAGTCCTATGGGGGAAAGGGAGGGCGGGGCGTGACAATCCAACGCCCAGATTCTAGTTCTAGTTGCTGTGTGGCTTCCACTGAAATTCACACCTCCACAGGTGCAGAGCCTCCCTAATAGGCCGATGGCATCCATTCAGGTCAGCACAGGGCGAGTGTGTGCCCGTGTGTGGGCACATGCATGGTTGTGCACCTGTGTGAATGTGTAAACCAGTGTGAGTGCACGTGCATGTATCTGGGTGAGTGAGACAGGAGTGGCATGGTAACTGATATTTTTATTTGATGTCAAATAAAGTTATTTAAATATATATGGTGTTCGAGACCCATTTAATGCAGTGCTGCCACCAGAGAAGCCTGGGGGTGCTCTTTTAATAAAGGAGGTGCTCTACTTTTAGTCTGACAAACATCTGCATGGCAAAGGTGCTTGAAAACTTCCAGCTTAAAAAGCTAGAGGAATGATGCTCAGCTTTTTATTTTTTGGGTCTTCTTTTTAGAGACAGATCCTCAGACTGTCACCAGGCTGGAATGCAGTGGCATGATTACAGCTCATTGCAGTCCCAAACTCCCAGGCTCAAGCGATCCTCCCACCTCAGCCTCCTGAGTAGCTGGTACCACTTGTAGTAGTCCATGCCTGGCTAATTTATTTCATACTTAGAGAGATGGAGTCTTGCTATGTTGTCCATGCTGGTCTCCAACTCCTGGCCTCAAGTCATCCTCCTGCCTCGGCCTTCCAAAGTGCTGGGATTACAGGGGTAATCCCAGGGCCATCTTGCCCAACCCTGGTGCTCAACTCGAGTCATGACATGCTGTGTATGGCCATCACCTCTGGCATGTGACACTTTATTATTAATGTGACAAAATATGACTGTTCAAATGGTTTCCTGTGACAACTTCAGCTGTTTTGTTACAGCAGTTGGTAGAAAGTGGTCTTTCCCCCACCTCTTGGAAGGTTTAAAGGTGAAGCCCTCTCTGCACCCTGGGGTCCTCCCAGGCTACTCTGAAAGAAAGGGGTCAGAAAAGGGCTGTCTCAGCAAAATGGGATAGAGGTCAGTCAAAGTGCGAGAGACAGGTCCATGCACCAAGGTCTGAGGCCCCTCAAGTGTTAGATTTTTGGGATTGGAGGAAGTCTGTACCATGAGAGAGAAACAGATGAAAGTGATTTGGAAGAACAAAAACTATTCGGTTGAGAGATTATAAATCTTGCATCACTAAAATAATAGGATGCCATAAAAAAGTAGTAACTGGAAAAAAGAAAGAGCTCTTAGAAATTAAAAATAAGCAAGCAAAATGACAGACTTAGAAGAAAGGTTGGGAGAGCAAATGAAATCTTCCATGAAGTGGAATGAGACGGCAAACAGCTGGAATATAGGGGAGAAAAGAGGAAAATGAGAGGTGCACTCCAGAGGGCCAAAGGGGGACGCAGGCGGCTCGGGAAGCATGGGAGGAAAGTGGGTCACAGCAATCAGAAAAGATTTCCCAGAAAGGAAGTGGAGATTTTCCAGTGTCTACAGGATTTTAATTCTAATGACATGGTGGATTGTCAGCTCAAATTAAAATCTCTTATTTCAGGGTGAATAAATATGAAAAGTTTCTTTGGAATTAGGCTTTGAGCTTCAGTCTAGAGCTCCCGAGAAAAATGTGCAACCCCCTCCCTTCCTAGTATTTATAAAGCAAAATAGTGTAAAACGGTTTCACCAAGATGCGCACGCCTTTCGCTTTGACCACGAGATCACTGAGAACTGGCTCTTCACACCCTGCCAGGTGGAGTCCAAGCCTCCATCACTGTGAAAGATCAGGGCTTGGCACAATGCATGAAAACAGTATGTAGTTTAGCTGCAGGCACAGATCATGGTGAAATTGCAGCAAATTGGGTACAAAGAGAGGATCTTATAAACTTTCAGAGAGAAAAGCAAAGCCAAACAGAAAAAGCAAAATCGGGTCCCATTCATGGGTGAGAGTCAGCAGCAGCACCTGCTCTGCAGCAGCACCTGGGACAGGAGGCCCAGGGAACAACGCCATCCCTGCTCTGAAGGAGAACAGCTTCCCCTGGGAGTGTGGGTCCCTACGACAGTTCAAGCAAGAGTAAGAACAGAATAAAGACACTCCCAGGTGCTCAAAGGCTCCAAAGTTACAGCCCACATCCTCTTTTATAGGAAGCGGCTGGGTGGTGAGCCTCTGAACACACAGAGAGTAAAGCAAGGGAGAGGAAGATCAGGGATCCCAGAACCAGGAAGCCCAGCCCAGCAGAGATGGGAGGAGGCCCCAGAGGGCACCAGGCCCCAGCGAGGATGGAGCCGTGGCAGGTTGTGGGGACCTCCTCAGGCAGATGCCCGGCAGAGGGTTCAGATGACTGGAGAAGGGCCTGGGTTAAATGAATAATGAGGTCACAGAACGCTGGGCAAACGCGTCATCAGAACCAATGTTAACTATAGGCAAAGGAAAAAGACATCACTGCAGTGGACGGCAAGCTCAGCGAGGGCTCCAGTTCACAGACCAGAGTAAACCAAGGCCTTATCCAACCTGAAGCCTAGAGTCTGTTGGAAAGCTGGGCTCACTGCAGTCCCAAACTCCGGGGCTCAAGCGATCCACCCACCTCAGCCTCCTAGGGGATGGGTGGGGGGTTGGGGGATGGGAAAGGTGTGTGTCTGAGAGAGTCCCAAATTCTCACAGCATGGGTTTGAAAAGAGAAAGGATCCTCCTGGGGACATGAAAACAAGCACTGGCGCCTGCCTACAGCGGACAAGGTGGTCACCTGCTGGTTTCCCATGTGCACCCTGAGAATCTGATGGACTCCAGTCATGTGTGTGCAGAACTGAAGACAACGAAAAAAATTTTTTTGAGACACAATCCCACTCTGTCACCCAGGCTGGAGTGCAGTGGTACATTCTCAGCTCACTGCACCCTCTGCCAGTGATTCTCTTGCCTCAGCCTCCTGAGCAGCTGGGGGTACAGGCGCTTGCCACCACGCCTGGCTAATTTTTTTGCATTTCTAGTAGAGACAGGGTTTCACCATGTTGGTCAGGTCCGTCTGAAACTCCTGACCTCAGATGATCTGCCCACCTCAGCCTCCCAAAGTGCTGGGATTACAGGCACCCAGCCAATGAAAATATTTTAAAGGAGAAACACCCAGGTGTTGTGGCTCACACCTGCAATCCTCGCATTTTGGGAGGCTGAGACAGCAGAGTGGCTTGAGGCCAGGATTTCAAGACTACCCTAGGCGACAAAGTGAGACCCTGCATCTACAACAATTAAAATAAAAAAATTAGCCAGGCATGGTGGCATGTGCCTGTAGTCCTACCTACTCGGGAGGCCGACGTAGGAGGATCACTTGAGTCCAGGAGGCCAAAGCTGCAGTGAGCTATGATGGTGCCAGTGTACTCCAGCCTGTCTAAAAATAAAACAAAAAATTAAAAATTAAAAAACTTAAAAATTAAAAATTAAAAACTTAAAAATTAAAAAAATTAAAAAATTAAAAAATTAAAAAAAATTGTTACATTTCTATTATGGCCAAGTTTAGGGAGTAATAACCACTGAAGCTTGGGCATGGTTTACACACTAGTAAAGATTTTAAGTTATCCCTGAAGCCCCGGGTCAGACAGGCCTTCCCAGTGGGCAGCAAAAGCGTGGAGCACAGTGTTCTCCTGTAGACCCTGGGCGGGCACCACTGTCCTCCGCCTTGTCTTCAGCTGGCATGGCCTGTCAGGTGGTCTGTGGGTCTACAGCGGAGAAGCTGCAGAGCCCGCTGCTAGCAACTGAGGAATGTCCCCATCCAGTGTCCCTTAGCCTCTCTCAGTGTGTTGGGTACGGTAGTGACAGCATTAGGAGATGGTGGGAATGTCCCGCTGGGACACTGGCTAGTCTCCATTTGTAAAGATAACACACAGATGACCCCAAGTCCAGCCAGCCCATGTCTGATGGCACGCTGGTTCTAAATTCTTTGGCCACCCACAGTGCAACCATGGCAAGTTGTAACTCCACGCTCTGAATGCCAAAGTGCAGGAATCCTGTCACATCCACAGCCTCTGCTCTACAGCTGTCCCCATGGCAGGGCCTAGGCAGGGTGAGGGCTCCAGCAGGGACACAGCACACTTCTGGGTGAAGGTGCACCAGAGCGTACAGGAGGGCTGCCCAGCAGAGCCCGGAGCAGGTGCTCAGAGAGGGGCTGGGAGGCGCATGTGGTTGCCAAGCTCGAAGGCCTGCCCTCACACTGCCCTGGATGCTGCTTGGCAATGGAGCAGTTTGCTGCCAGGGGAGGTAAGAGAAGCAGCCACACCTCCAGAGGTACCTACGCGTGGATGCTACTTCCAAGCTGGGCCTGACTTGATCCTGGGCACTGGAGAGGCCCCGAAGGTCTATGGAATTGTTCTAGAAGCTTTTTATGTCTCTGGCAAGCTAGATGAGTTGCATGAGCAAGGCCCTGGTGGCCAGAGCGTTCAGCAAATCTGTGTGTGGCGCTGCTTGCACGGGGCTCCCTGCCTCTGGCAAATCCCAGAAGGTCTGCGGGGCTGGGAGCAGGAGCCATTCAGAGGTGGGATGTGGGACGGCATCACCCGCTTGGCTCTGCTGAGGTCTCATGTTTTCCGATTTGGTCTTTTTGGGTATTCTTTTTGGTGAGGAGAGGGAGGGTATATTATCTTTTACCAAATCCACAAACTGTAACTAACATGTATCTTGTCTCTAAGAATACAAACAGGGACAGGACCATTGCAGACAGTGTCACGCCGGCTTGCCTTGCATCATAGGCGTATGTGGGAGGCTAAGGCCTGGCAGTGAATATGGCTGGTGGGTCTTCCAGACCAGATTTGGTGCCTCCACTCCTGGCAGGATCCTTTGTGACCACTGGGATCCCAGCTGTGGGGCTCCCAGGATGGGGCCATGGGGGCTTGCGCCCTCCTCCTTTCCAGAGCAGAACACTTTGAAATCAAGAAGTTCCTCAAGGTAAATGTACCTGTGTGAAACCAGAGGAACTTCGCTTCATGTGCAGAGAAGCCACAGAAGGTCCGGAAGATGGCAGGGATGAGCGACCTTCTGAGAAGGTGCCCAGCAGAGGGGACGCAGCTCAGCCACTGACAGACCCAGCCCAAAGGGCTGCCCCCTGCTTCCTTAAAGGGCCACAAGGCTGTCCCTCGGGGGAGTGAGGGAGATGGCCACAGGAGTGGAAGGGGCGACTGCGAGCCTCCCGAGCACCGGCCATGCCCTTGCACAGGGGCCCTGCTAAGCCTCTGAGTCTTCTCATTCCGGAACAAGGAAAACCACTCCTGGCTGCCTGCTCCCTTACACTGATTCCTAATGATGCTTTACTGCCTGAAGCCTCAGGCACCTCTTAAAGGACACCCCAGGAGGGAGGCGCAGGGAAAGGACCATGGTCTTCCCTAGGCTCCTCTGAGCTGACCGGGTGTTTTCTGTGTGCTGTGGGGTTGGTATTTCAGGTATTGCTGAAAACAAGATTTGAAAACACTGGCTGCTTCTACATGCAGAGCCCTGAGTGTGGCTCAGAGTGGAGGGGTCCTGTGGTCACAGGGCAGGCGGGGAGTGTCGGTGTGCCTGGCAGGCCTGCAGCATAAAAATAACCCTCGCAGGTTTATCGATGAGTTATTATTACCCCCTGTGGCCGGGGCCTTCTGGCCCCATGTGCTTCTCTGTGCTTTCCTGTTAGCTGCCCTTGGTCTGGAAGCTGAGCTGTTGGTGTATCGATCAGGCCGGCTCTCAGCAAGGTTTTCCTGCCCAAGGCGGTTTCAGCTTTTCGCCTACAGCTATTTTTAGAGTCTTGCGCTCCACGGATGGGGCCTCTCTCCAACGATCCCGTGTGGCAGGGCTGGGGAGGATCCCAGGCCAGGCCCCTGCAGGGAAGCTGTCTGGGTGGGGGCAGGCTTCTCCTTCCACTGGGGGGTAACACCAGGCTTTACTCTCAGTGCCCAGCTGGGATGAGCCCTGGAGGCTGCTCAGGCTGGGATGTTTTCTAGATATTTCTGGCCTATTTCTGGGCAACGAGGAGTAAATTCTGAAGCTGGAGGTCTCACATCCCACTATTAGCAAACTAGGCCTCAGAGTTAAGCCCTGAACCCTTTGAAAAGGCAAATTCTTGATTGGTCACTACCACCCCTCTGTGCCTCGGGGGCTCCCTTGGTTGGACAGAGCTGGATAAAAACTCTTGAATGGAAGAAAAGGCTGAGAATGTGGTACCGGCCCAGCAAAGTCAAACACCCCAGACCTCACCAGCTCAGGGCCAGCTACATCCACTTGGTCCCAGGGTGACACACCAGATCCTTTCCAAGCAGGACCATGGCTCTCTCAACAGCCCTGAGAGTGATGCTAGGGCAGGGATTCACCCCTGCAGCCACCGGAGCAGGACACGTGGGAGGAATCCTCGAGGACCTACCTCAAAGTGGATGGCCCCGTTCCCGTCGGCGTCAAAGGCGTTGAAGAGGAAGTGTGCATAGGTGGTGGCATCTGGGGAGGGTAAGGAAGAGGCTGGGGTATGTCAGTGCTGCCTGGTGGTTGATCTCACAGCCCAGGCAACCCCAGCTGGGGATGCTGTGTCCTGGCTGGCAGTCCCTGCTTCCCACAGGACAGGGGCAGCACCAAGCTTCTAGGATGCAAGGGGCAGCAGGAGGGTCCCCTCCCTCCTCATTGGGACACAGCAGGGCTCCCCGGCCTCGGACTCACCTCCCTGAGGGAAGAACTGTGAGTAAATGAGTTTGAAGGTGTCTTCATCCACCAGGCCCGTGGGACACTCCTGCAGCAGGAAGGCACCCTCTCAGCACTCGGCCACCCCCAGCTCCAAGCCCGGTTCCATGGGACTGGCCTTTCTCCACCCCCTTGGGGGCTGCCCGCTGCCTGTGGCACTGCTGGGGCCCCCTGGCCTGGATTTCAGAAAGCCCAGGCAGGGATGGGGTGAGAGGGATCGAGGTGAATAGGAAGGGAATGGCTGCTCCCCCATACCTCCCTCCTCTGTACCAGCAGCAGAGACACAGAAGGAGGAACGTGGCAGCTTCAGCAAGGATCATTCTGGGGTGTGCCCCTGCTAGACAGCATTCCCACAACACATAGCCCCTTTGATGCCCCTGGGATATTTAGTGTGGCGTGAAGAAGTTTCCTGGTCTCTCTGGGCCAGGGTCTCCAAGGTCTTTCCCAGGGGAATGGGGAACACTCACGTTCTTGAAGCCCCTGTAGAGGGACTGCAGCTCCTTCTTGGTGAACTTGGTCTGGGCCTGCAGTTGGTCCAGCCCCTCTGGCTGGTGGCGCACCGTGGACAGCTCTAGCTCACTGTCGCTGCTATCTGGAGTGGGACACAGACCAGAGAGGGTAAGGCCTATAGCCCTGTTCCTCCGTCTTGCTGCAGTGTGGGCAGATGCCAGGACATGGGATGAAATAGTGGATGGAGGAACTCTCCTTGCATGACTACCATGTACAGCCACACAGGCTGTGCACTGCGCAAACCAAGGGGCTGTGACTGAGTGGCCCATGCAAGAGCTGTGCCTCTGCTTTCCTGCCCACAACAGGGTGGGCCTCCCAGTCACAGCCCCGGCAGTGTGCCCACCTGTCAGCTAGCTGCACGGTGGGACAAGGTGGGAGCTGCTCTTGTCCTAGAGAGGCATGAACAAGGGGATACAGGAGGGGGAAAGACAGCAAGACAGGCATGAGGGACCCTTGAACTTCAAGATCCATTCCTAGTCCACTCCTCCATGTGGTCCTCCTTGACTTCTCCCAGGAATGGAGAAGGCGCCTCCCTTGGCCTCAGGTGATACTGTTCAGCTACATCTGGCAAAGGGGCGTCATTCACATCTGGGTAGGAGGCTAGACCTCCAGGGCTCTGGGAGCAGGTACCAGACCTTTTCTTTAAATACACAAAAATGTGAACTATCCATGGCTACCTTTGCAGAGGAGATGCAATTTCAGGTGAATTTACTTTTTTATTTATGATTTAAAAAAACATTTTTCGAATTTCTTTTGGTGTGACATGCATCACTTTTACAATGAAAAATAAAGCTAGGGCTGAAACGGCACTGAGTGCCCACACCTTGCTGAGCAGCATCCTCACATAACTAGAGAGCACCACCTTCCCACCGACTCAGGACACACGCTCCCCCTGCACAGTCACCCCATTTCCCCTGGGCCACACAGAATGGATGGTGGTGATCCATGATCACCCGCATGGCTGCTGCTGGCTGCTGCCTCTCCCACTGCACAGCGAGCTTTTAAGGAGCAGCTGTCCTGCACAGCTTGTCCTGTGCCCGTAGTGCCTGGCATGGTGCTGGGCACCGGTCCTGTGCTGAGCTTGGTCCATACCCAGGCCTCTCCTGAGAGCGTAGTGGGAAAGACAGCCTGCACTGCCCACTCTCACTAACCACAAGAGTGCCCTGAAAGCTGCTCAGCAATTGCGCTGTTTCCTTGGTCCACACATGCTCCCAGTCTCCAAGATAACTATTTCATACCTTCCTTCCCTTTAAGTTTCCAGTATCTCCTCCCTCATCCTTATTCTCAGGTTGCTTTCCACTTCCCTGAGAAGATAGAAGCTATGGAGGAAAACTTCCCCAAGCCCTCACCCCACACCTACCCACCTGCCAGCACCTGGCCCAGATGTCTGCACCTCTGCCAGCTCCGTGGCTGGTATGTGCCTGCTCCCAGTGAAAGCAAACCTGCCGCTTGTGCAGTGAGTCCTGACCCCTCTCGCCTACCCAGGCAAGTGGTACCAGCAGGTCTCCCACTCTTTCCTCATTGTCTTTTCCTCTCTTCTGGATCATTCCCATCACCGTATAGACATACTGTGGAATCTGGAATCCTTAGTCAAATTAAGTATAGGCAAACCCTGCAAACCGGCATCCCATACTGGGCAAGCATCCCGCACAGACTCTTCCCCAGCCGAGGGGTCTGCACAAGGATGCTCACAGCAACAGCATTTTTGGTGGGAGAGTTGGAGGCAACTCAGGGTCCATGTCAGGCAGAATGGGTAGGCAAAATATGGAAGCTGCATACCCAGGAGAACTGTGCCATGGAGCAGATGTTCACACAGCAGTGTGCATGGATGGACAGTAAGAATCCTTTGATTAAGCGGTCAACTTTTCAGACTGGGTGGAAAAGCAAGATTCAACTATATGCTCTTTACAAGAGGGATACTCATGACACAGACAGATTTAGGCCAGGTGCTGTGGCTCACGCCTGTAACTCCAGCACTTTGGGAGGCCAAGGTGGGTGAATCACCTGAGGTCAGGAGTTTGAGACCATCCTGGCTAACACGGTGAAACCCCATCTCTACTAAAACACAAAAATAAGCCAGATGAGGTGGCGGGCACCTGTAATCCCAGCTACTCAGGAGGTTGAGGCAGAAGAATCGCTTCAACCCAGGAGGCAGAGGTTGCAGTGAACTGAGATCATGCCATTGTACTCCAGCCTGTGCGACAGAGCCTGAGACTCCATCTCAAAAAAAAAAAAAACCAAACAAACAAAAAACACACAACAACAACAAAAAAAAACCCCAAAAAACACACAACAAAAACACACACAAAAAAAAAAAAACAAGAAAAAAAAGAGACACAGATTTAGAGTAAAAGAATGGAAAAACATTAAGAAAGCTGGATGTTTTATAATGATATAAGATTAATTCATCAAGAAGACAGAACAATCTGAAATAAACATTACCTAGTAACAGAGTTTTTAAATACCTGAGGCAAAAAAAAAATCAGAGAGAAAAATAATTAAGCTACAATCATAATTGGAAGATTTTAGCATCCTTTTCCAGTAAATATGACAAGTGACGATATAAAAGATTTGAAAAACACCATCAACCAATTTGACCTAATGAATATTATAGAACACTGTTACTGTATAGTTGTAGATTACACATTCTTTTCAAGAGCATACCCTGTGGTTACCAAGATATATCAGATGCTGGAACACAGACTCTTACCATAATAATATTAAGTTAAAATTCAGATAAAGATATTTAGAAAATCTCAAGTTGTTGGAAATAAACAATACATTTCTAATTAGCTCATAGGTCAGAGAATACACTGCAAGGTGATCACATTTTGAGATATTTTGAATTGAATGATGAAAAAAACAGCGTATCAAAATTTGCCAGAAGCAGGTAAAGCTGTGCTTAGATGGAAACTTATTGCTTTCAATTCCTTTACTAGAAAAGAAGATAGGTGTAAAAGCGATGACATAAGCTTCTATATTTAAAAGTCAGAATCTAAAAAATGCCCAACAAATTAAAATCAAAGTAAAAAGAAGAAAGAACATAATAAAAATAAGAGTAGAAATCAATGACAGGCTGGGTGCAGTGGCTGACACCTGTAATCCCAGCACTTTGGGAGACCAAAGTGGGTGGATCACTTGAGGTCAGGAGTTTGAGACTAGCCTGGCCAACATGGAAAACCCTGTCTCTATTAAAAATACAAAATACAAAAAAAAAAAAAAAATAGCTGGGTGTGGTGGCGCATGCCTGTAATCCCAGCTACTTGGGAGAGTGGGGCATGAGATTCACTTGAGACCAGGAGGCTGGAGCTTGGAGTCAGCTGAGATTGCACCACTGCACTCCGGCCTGAGCAACAGAGTGAGACTTCATCTCAAAAAAAAAAAAAAAAAAAAAAAAAAAAAAAAAAAAAGAGAAAGAAAATCAATGACAAATATAAGCATAGAGGCAAACCTTATAATAAAGTCATTAAGAAACTCAAAAGTCATAGACTGGAAAAACATATCTCCAGTACATGTATCTGTCAAAGGACTCATTTCCAGAATACACAATAAACTTCTACAAATGAACTTAATAAGACTAATAACTCAATTTTTTTAAGAGATGGGGTCTCGCTATGTTGCCCAGGCTGGAGTGCAGTGGCTATTCACAGGTGCGATCCCACTACTGATCAGCACAGGAGTTTTGACCTGCTCCATTTCCAACCTGGGCCAGTTCACCCCTCCTTAGGCAAACTGGTGGTCCCCCACTCCTGGGAGATCACCATATTGATGCCAAACTTAGTTTGGACACCCGATTGGCATAGCACACTATAGCCCAGAACTCCTGGGCTCAAGTGATCCTCCTACCTCTGCCTCCTGAGTAGCTGGGACTACAGGCATGTGCCACTATGCCTAGCATAACTCAATTTTTTAAACAGGCAAAAGACAAGGACACTTCACAAAAGAAGATATACAACTGTCCAATAAGCACAGGAAAAGGTGCTTGACAGCATTAATCATCAGAAAAATTCAGGTGACCCAATGCAAAATGCAAAATATCCAACCATCTATTGTCTCAAAAAGACCAATAACACTAAATGTTAGTGAGGATGTGGAGCAACTGGAACTCCAATATATTATTGATTTAAGTGTAAACTGGTGTAACAGTTCTTCAGAACTCCTTGGCAGTTTCCTATAAAGCTAAAACATACATGAGCCTTATGACTTATGTACCCAGGACAAAAGATATACATCCACAAAAAGACTTTTGCAAGTATATTCATAGTAGCTTTATTCTTAATAGTCCCAAACTGGCAACTATCCAAACAATAAACAGAAACATTGAACTGTGGGACATTTACGCAATGGGATATTATTCTCCATTAAAAAGGGATGAACTGTTGATATATGCAACAACATGCACACATTTCAAAAATATTATACTAAGCAAAAAGCCAGATGTAAAGGAGTTTAAACTGCATGATTCCATTTAACAAAGTTCTAGAACAGGCAGCACTAATGCATTGTGAAAGAAAGCAATACAGTGGGCGGTTGTTACAAGGGTATATATGGTCATCAAAACTCACTGAACTGAACATTGAACATCAGTGCATTTTGTTGTATGTCAATTATAACCAGTTAAGAAGAAAACATACTGATGACACTTATGCTTTCAGTTATGATGGGATAGTGAGTATCAGGCTTACTGTCCCAGTGCAAACAACCTGAACACTGCAAGAAATAGATGAGGAAAATGTTTTCAGGCTTTGGAGTACAGCACAGGGGTGCAATTTTTGAAAGCAGGGGAACTGAAGGGAGCTGCATATTCGCCCTGGATATCTGCCTGGAGGTATTTTCCAGACCACAGCACAGGGAGGTGACGCACAAGCCAGGGAGCAGCAGTCTTGCTGAGCTGACAAGGCAGATATCAGTTTGGGCTGTTAAGGCAGGTGGAATTTTCAGAGCAGAGTCCTGGAGAGGAAGAAACTAAGAGTGGGCCCAGAAGTCGGAGTGGAAGTTCGCTGAGTGAGGGCCTTGGCCAAGGGCTAGGCTACACATGCTTAGAATGAGATTCTATGAGGCTCAGAGGAGAGCAGCTTTCTG